AGGAAAACAGATTGCCGGCCTCCCTTCCTCCCACATTCTCACTCTCTCTTTCTCTTTCTTCCTACAACCCCTTCGGTAAACAATACACTTCGGACCGCCCCCTCCCTGCACCTCGCTACCTTGGAAAAGGCAGGTTTATTAATAGTTCAGAGCAGGGTGCTCGGGGCAAGCTGTACGAGAAGGTTAAGGATGAGGGGAGTTAGCAATCTGGACTCAGTAAGCAGCAGCCATCTCAGTAGCAGCTTCTTTTTTAGAGAAAGAGTCTCATGGTCTTCCCGTGTCCGTATCCATTTCATGACAAATGAAATACCAAAGGCCCTGGCCAGAAACAATGGCTTGTTTGGCTGGCGAGAGGCGGTGTGGGAGGAGGTGGTGGTGGAAGGGGGGGCGGCTAAGACTGGCTTCCAGCCCCTGCAGCTGTCCCGGTTGTCACTCCTTGTCTTAAAGCTCACTCCTGGCTCAAGGCTCCAGCCCCGTGGATCAAGGGGATGTGTGTGGAACATTTGTGTGCGATTGTCTGTGCATCCTGGGCTTCGGGAGATACTGCGAGGCAATTCTCTGTGCTCCGAAAAAACTGCCCCAGACCCGGACACGGAAGGAAAGTTGAACGATGTTAAGACCCCTTCGGTATGGCGCAGTACCCCCCCGGGCATGAGGTCACCAGCCTTGGTTTAGCAGCCTTTGTCCCACAGCCTGATAGACAGGAGGGGTGGCTATAGAAGACAATCATTGGGATCGGTTACAGCCATGAATGCCACTAAAGGTACAGCACTTTTTTTGTGATAATTTGGAGTTTCATCTTGGAATTACAGATTTTTTCCAAAACCAGAACATGGTGCCTCATAAAAACAAGCAGCCCATTATGCAGATTACACACCCATAAACAGTGACATCGGAGTTTGGTGATTGTTTCCCACCTCTGCTTGCCTCGCCTTAATATGAAGAATAACGTCTGTGAATCTCTTAATCGGTGTTGATAACAGGTGATACACTTTTTTATTATAGCGCTAATATTCCACTACTAGGCCGTGTGTCGCAAAGGAGAAAGACAAATCTCTTCCTGCCTCTCCCTCTCTATCTCTCCCTCTCTCACCCTTATGTCTCAGAGATTAGCCTTTGCTCAAACACCTCCTGTTCATCTAAGTAATTAAAACATTAGAATTACTGGATTATAAACTGCTTTCGATTTAATCCAGCACTCGATGCACCCACCATCTTGCCAAATGGGTCAATGGGAAATATAATGGGCCTCTGTGATTTCTGATTCAGGGATCTGGAAGAGGCAAAGGGAGCCAATAATGGCTATTAAAAGAGATGTGTGTGTGTGTGTGTGTGTGAGAGGGAGTGAAAGTGAGAGAGAGATCCAGAGCCCAGACTAGCTTTGCCCTGAGTGCCATCTGTCTTGGACCCACCAGACCCAGTTTTGACTGGAAGAAGCCAAAGCAGTTCAATCTCTGCCCCCAATGCACTGTTATGCAGTTGGGGGGGGGGGGAGCAGAAATTTTTGGGTTAGGGTGGTTGGCGGAATATCTCAAAGGCACCTGCAATTCTTTAACCTGCCCGGCCTCATTACTGTGCGTGTGTGTGTGTGTGTGTGTGTGCCCTTCACAAGAGGCTCCAACCTACGACAGGTGTTTGCCCCTAGGACACCCGGTGCACCTTAAAGGCCGCGTGTCAATGGGAGTCATGGTCTTGCGCATACGTCATTCATCCTGCCGTCATCTTTTCCTTTGACACACGTTCTCACACGTGTTCACAAACGCTCGCGCTCATTCAGCTTTAAGGGAAGTTCCTCCCTGCTCACTTCGCCAAACTGCCTCACCTTTTTTGGCAGTAAACATGAAGGTGCGCCGTGGGGATTCACCCCTGCTGTCTTCTCACCTGCACTGTCTATTCTCGCTTTGGAGTGTCAGAATGTGCTCGGCGTGATGCGTGGCGTGAGTTTGAACACCGAGCTCGTGGAGCCCTCCTTTGTGGCCGCGAGTGTGTGTGTGTGAACAGTGTCTTTGGCATTAGGTTTCCGTTCTATGCGTGTGTTCATTACGCTTTGTGTTTGTCTTTGTGTTACTCACAACAAGGGGTTCCAAGTTGACACGGCGACAGTTCTCCTCGCGGCGACAGAGGGGCCCTTCCATCCGACAACGGGGGCTTTGTCGCTCGGCTCCTCTTGGCTTGTTATGGACGTCCTTCTCTCGCTCTCTCTGTTACTCTCCCTTTTCGAGTGAGCCCATTTTCTTGTCTGAAGTCTTAATTTGGGGTACTGGCCAGTGGGGAGAGAGGCAAGGGGACCAAGGGGTGATTGCTGCAGACGGAAGGCCCTTTGTTCCTCCTTTCCCAGGCTCCTCTCTTGAGCCTCCGAGGCTCCAGTTGTGTCGGAGCCTTCCAGAGAAACAGAAGGAGAGAGAATGAGAGAGAAAGAGAGATTGGGAGGAAAACGGGGGTACAATGATCTGTCCAACTGGAATCTTCCAAAATCCACAAAACAAAGGCAAGCACGCACAAACACACACACACACACACACACACACACACACACACACACAGACAGGTGATATGAAGATAGAAGGAGAAGAAAGGAGGGGGGGGGGGCGCTAATCCCAATACGACAAATTAGAAACACATAGATCTGAATATAAAAAGGGCATAAAATAAATAAAGATGATATAAGAAAAGATGATAAAAAAGATGATATAAGAACGTCAACGATGCACATACTGACCACTAGGTGTCCTCGTCACGGATGCCAAATGTGGGCGACCCAAAATTAATCCCACATTGTGCCAGTATCTATGGAGCATGAAACCAGTGTGTTGCTCCCTCCACAACAGTGTTTAATTACAAACACGCCAGGAATGAATCCATCAATCTGTGCAGTATTTAAATCCGTTTTAGAGCTTTTTCATTGGAACTGTAATCATTTCCGTGTGAGAACTTTCATTGTAGCTGCAACGATGAATCGAATGCAGGCAGACATGCATACAGATTACCGCCCTCTGTGAACAAAAGTCCAAAATAATAATATTCTGGTTTTAAGCCTGCAGTCATTTTGCAGGTGTAGGTGTCAAAGTGGTTCAAAGAGAGCGTAGCTCATTTGGTCGTTGGTAGGAGGATCGCACGGAGAAGAAATCGAAACGAGGACCTGGATTCTTGTGTTTCTTCGTCACAAAGGCTCCTCAGCATGAGCATGAAGAGTTACATCAGTGCACATGTGTGGAGATATTTACTCCAAAAAAAACTGTTCTTTTTGTTGTTGGGTCGGCGTTCTGTAAATCCCACACTGCCTTCAAGCTCTAAAAACACACGTCTCACTAATGTGAAAGCTTAAAGAAAACAATTCCAGTTGGCAAAACACACTCTTAACAGTCACTGCAAAATGTTCTTGAACCTGAGCATGTGATAACGAGTGACCACGGGGGGAGGAGGGGGGGACTTGGAGAGGGGACCTTGGGGACAGTGTCAACGTTTTCTGTGCCGGACCAGGGACAAACATTGGGCAAACATTGGGAAAGGCTGGCAGCCTTTGAGATAGAGCGCCGTTGATCCAAGACTGAGGAGCTAGAGTCCACTATCTCCCGTCTGATACAGCGGCCAAGGTCTCGCTGACACACAGGGCCACAGAACAAACACGGATACCTGAAGACAATGACCTTTGACCCCCCCCACCCCCCCCCTCACCCTCCCTAGCGGGAAAGGTGGAAAAAACAAGAAGTGGTGAAAGTGACTCCTGTGACTTCCTACAGGCCAAGAATGAATCAGGTGAAATGATTGCAAGTACACAGGTCATTGTACATAAAAGCGCACACACACAGTTTCAGTGGGAAACACAGATGTGTGTGTGTGTGTGTGTGTGTGTGTGTGTGTGTGTGTGGTGGAGGAAGCGAGAGAGTGAGTCTTCAGATGTAGCGACAGATGGTATTTGATTACTGAGCAGACGGTCGGTGTTGTACAAAGATGCTGTCTCAGCCCGACCTGAGGAGCCGTAGCCTCCGGTGAAGGCAAGCGGAGGGAGGCGGGCGGAGGACGAGAGGGAAAAGGAACACAGGAGAGAGGGGGGGCGGGGGGGAGGAAAGAAAAAGAAAGAATAAAAGCAAGCAAGCAAGAAAGAAACACAAAAGAAGCGACTCCGAAAATGAGCATCAAAGCAAAAAGAGTAAAAAGCTGTGAGGCAAGAACAAAAGAAAGAAAAAAAGAGAACAGAGCAACGGGCTGCAGCGATGGAAAGTACAACAGAGGTCATGATGAGAAAACAGCACAATGACGGAGGGAGGGAACACGCCAAGCCTCTTTTTAACCAAAGTGTATTTTTTGAAGGAGACTCACACATTCATGAAATTACAAAGAAATGTAAAATATGCAGGAAAGTGTCGTTAGGTTAGAATCTGCCATCAGTATTTAACTTTATTTTTTTCATTTCAGTTTTTGATTTTATAACGCTTCCCTAGTTTGAACAGCCACACACACTTAGTTCATTGATTGGAGCTGGGAATTCATTCTGTTGATTCTGAAATGATTTGATTGACACACAAATTATTTGATTCATTTAATCGAAACATGATTTGGTCAAGGCTTCTCAAATTGTGAGAATTTGAAATATTTTTATATTTTATTTATTTTTATGGGCTTTTGGATCGTTGGTCCAATAAAAAAGTTATTTAATTAATTTCCTTTTATAACAGGCACTTACATATAAAACATATTTTCTCGCAAATAAGCTAAAACTCTTAATCTAGAAGATAATCCTAAATAATCGTTATTGCCCTTTAGTCAACACAGGTTAAATTTGTATCAAACATTCATTACATTATTTTTATCCAGTAGATACATGTCTACACATTTGAGGCCTGCTGTCAGAGCGCTCATTAGTGCATTGAGTCCCTCGGAGAAGTCAGTGATGCAGTTGAGCAAAAAGATGCACATCCATTGTGTCATTCAAATGACTTTTGTTTGCATTAAAGATTTGCCACCCTGTAGAAAGTCAGATAAAGAAACAACAAACAGCATTTGTTTTCTACGTTTTGTCATTTTTATTTCATTTTTTTATTCATTTTGCACAAGCTTGCATATATACTGCACATACATTCAGTTCATAGAGGGTGAAGGCACGAAAGGCAATTTGACTACTGGTTGTTTTTGGGCCGGGCCAAAGCGATACAGGGGGAAAAAAAATCTCAAGAGAAAATATAAAACTGCTTCAAACTAGTGTCAGCTTCCTCGCTCTCCCTCGGCCCCGTCCCGGAACAAAACAAAACAACCTTTTTTTCTTCAAAACAGTCTGTTCAGCTGCCAAGATCTCCATTTAATCATTTATCTCAATTGAATAAGGACGCTAGAATACCTTTTTTTTTAATTGTAATTTTAGGTAGATGGGGATTAGAATCTTTCAAATTGGTAATGAAATGCAGTACAGCCTTCCCTGTTTGAAAAACAAAAGAAAACAACACCAAATAAATTAGGATAAATTAAACCAATAAATTACACAAAATCTGCAAGACAAATACACACCAACAACATAAAAAAACAGCCATGTCTTGAGTTTCATTTTACAACCTGTGTGTAACTATTCAGACTGTAATGGAAACACGGCTGTTCCAGTTGGAATTACTGACTAGAATTGAATAATAATGTCATACAAAAAGCATCAACAAAACACTATTTACATAACATATTGCTAAGTTACACAAAGGCAGTATTTATCACCGTAAGTCCACATCATTGATATTTACAAAATAAGAGGAGCAATATAATAATAATAATAATAATAAAAAAAATGAATTACCACTGAAAGCATTGAGAAACAAATAACCCTTTCAAACAGGTCAGAAAACAGATCAGAGGAAATTGTCGCAACACACACACACTCACACACGCGCACACGCGCACACACCAAACACACGTTGCCAGCGCTTAATGAGAATCATTTACATGTCAGGATGGTAATCCCGGGAGGGGGGGACGGGGGGGGGGCACAGTGTTGAGAATTGTGTCACTCACTGGTTCACAGGTTCTCATAATCGGTCTTTTCTCACGCACACACACGCACACACTCAGATACACGTCATCGACACGCACAGAATGCAAAGCGTACACAAATTCCCCCCAGAAGTCCAAACTTTTTCCAACAGTTTGAACCCGGTTAAAAAAAAAAAAAAAAAAAAAGAGTATAAATCACTTCTCTTTTAAACGGTCGCTGTGTACAATGTGCCCCCCCCCACCCCCCCCCACGACACCGGCCGCCTGGTGACAAAGAGCTCCTGTCTCGCGCTCTCGGGTCAAACGCTTGTCTTTTTGGGGCGAGACCGGGTCTCTGTGACATCATCATCATCATCATCATCATCGCACCGACCTCTAGTCTAATGCATCGTTCTGTCAGCAAAAATTAAAGAAACGGATGCTGGTGCAACTTTGAGGGCACTGCCGACTGGAAACAGGCCCCTGTTAAAGCCAGGGGGGGGGGGGGGGGGGGGGCATCTCCTCTGTGGGTTTTTGGAAAAGTGGGTAAGAGTCCAGTTGGTGCGAGTGGGTCGTCACTCTTTCTTTTTGTTAAACCACTCTGACCGTTCTTACTTGTCCCTAGAAAAAGACTATACAGCTATTCTTTGTGTCATTCTTACAGTATTTACAACAGTAATATCTCATACTCTGAAACGGATTTCACGTTTAGTTTTCTGTTTTCTTGAGAAGACATGAAAAAAAAAATGCACAAAAGGTAAAGAAACCAAAAGCAAAACTGGTCACGAAACCTGCAAAGAAAAAAAGAAACTACAGCTATTGCTCCTAATCTACCAACAAGTCACTCATTCAGAATACAGATTTAAACAAAGCCATCACTAAAAATGTATTTTATAAAACAATTCAACAACAGTGCTTTCAAGGAACCTCCACTTTTGTATATATTTTTTTCCGTAGATTTATCTTTTACAATTCTTAAAAAAGGCTATATATGCATTTCAATAGTCATCCTTAAAATCAAACAATCCCCAGAGAAGAAAAAACTTGAGAAAAATATTTTCATTGCGGTATTACGGTCTCGATAATCCTTTTTGCACATAAGTCTTCATTATCCTGAATTATAATCTTTTTAGGCGCAGGAACTGTAACTTCAGGGCGGGGTTGCAGGAGGAGAGGGAGGGAGGGAGGGAGGGGCGATAATAATCTGTGAATTTGATAAAAGTGTCCTTTCCTTCCCCCTTTGTTTGCGCTGCTTTAGAGCCCTCGGCTGTCGCTTTGAGACGTACACGGCCCATCTTTCAGTGAGAAACGCGTCCATCTCGCTCTCTCGGGGCTCCCGGATCTTAAGAACACTGTTCGTGGGAGGACGAGAGGCGGGGGGGTACGGGGGGGACATAATGAAGGGAGTAGCTCCCTGTCGTTCTCGGCCTCCTTTTGTCAGGCGCTTTGTCTCGCTTAGACGAGTCAGCAGGTTAAGCAAGCTGCTCCTTTTGATCTTTTGGGACACGCACGCACACACACACACAGACACACACACACACACGCACACACACACCGTAAGATAATGTCGCCGCGGTGGAACCAACAGCCCGCTCGCACGCACTCCAGAAAGCCTTCAAGTCCTCAAACTTTCACACTAACTGCTTCTAAAAGCTCTTAAAAAGCCCGATGGGATGAAGAAAACACTAGAATGTCACGTGCAACTGCGAGTGCAACATCTGGGATTGTAATCTCAGGTACAAGTGAAAGGAACGCCGTTCAAACCAAGTGGGCCTCGCCGGCTTCGGCGGATTCACACGTTGGGTCTTATGAAGCTGCCGGCGTGGGACGGGGTGGGGTTGGAGGGATGGGGTTGGGGGCAGAGCGGGGGGGGGCCTTCAGGTGCGTGTCGCTCCTCGCTCGGTGCCTTTGTCGCCGCTCTTTGTGGCGCTGAGAGCGCCTCCATCTACCCCTGTGGTGAGTGCTCACCTCCGACCTCGTATTGTTGCATGGAGATCACTCAAAGGCAGGTGGACATGGAGGAAAGCAGCAGCGTGTGTGTGTGTGTGTGTGTGTTGTTTGTGGGGGAAGCTCCACTTGAAGCCGAATTAAAGAACTGTGTTTCAGCTTATATTCACCTCTCTCTCTCTCTCTCTCTGCCCTCCTTTAATACTCTTCCTCTCTGCCGTGCTTCTATTTATATGTTTTAAATGTTCTAGTGTTTCAGCAACACCGTCTTTCGACTGACGCAGTATTCTGATGTATCCCAGTATCAACTGCTAGTGAAATAACTTCATAATGCCGTTTACGCCCGGTAACGGCTCATCACAATAAAAGCCTTCCGTGTGAACAGACTTCATTTCAAACATGATTAAGAGAACGTTGCTGTAAAAAGACCAAAAAAAGCAACCTGTGCAGTTATTCAGTTATTATCATTGTACGTTCACATATCTGTTACAACAATTTATTTTAAAGCTGAACAAGTGGCTCATTTGGTGGGAGCGGTTTGTTTATCAAAGCGGGACTGGTGAAACGTAGCCGTATAAAAACGCAGGTCACGCAGCAAAAGGCCTCCCGTGCACACTTCTACGCTGCGCGTTGCATCACTGGTTCCTGCCGCCTTACTTCTTCTCCAGCGCGGCTGCCAGACGGGTGCAACGTGGGCTTTGTCATCAAAGGCGTGCAGAAAGACCTTTTTGAGGGCCCGCCATTAAAATCCCAAATAGAAACATTTTGCAGGCGAGTTGCCCCACAGCACCAAAAAAACTAAATAAACAAAGCAAAGTCCACCTCAGAGATGGACAAACAAAAACAAGTTTAAGGAGGGGGATGGGAAAAGGGCAAAATATTTCAGAATCTAAAGTCTTGGAATAATATTAATAGCAATAATTTATTGTTTTTTGCGAACAGCATCAAGGGACAAACAAAATCTCGAAGTGCCAATCTTCAGCAAGCAGTGATGACAAATAATAATAATCATAAACAACAACAATAATAATAATCTAAATAATAATGTACACCCAATAAACACAATGCCCTATTTGTAGGAAAAGCACACTTCAAAACATAGTAGAGCTCAGTAGCTTTATGAAACCAGTCCCGCGGACTGGTGCAGACCGAGTCCGCTCTTAGTCCAGTCAGTAGCCTCACTAGGCCGTGCTTTTGTGTGCACGTGTGTGTGTGTGTGTGTGTGTGTGACTGTCCTACAGGGGACATCTTCAGTAGCAAAGTCTATTGGGCACCTGCTGTGCGCAGAAAGTTCATTTGGACACCAACTGGATTGGAGGGACGCCGCTGGGGTCCAATTGAAAGTCTTTAGGGGTTCCGAGTGGTGTAAAAGGGAACCCAGCATCTCCTTCCACACACACTGTGGACTCTGTTAGTGTTGATCGTAAAACAAGCCAAACGGAGGATTTCACACGGGCCCGAAAAAGCACCCAATAAGATCAGAGTCTCTTCATTTCAGAATCATAAAAATAATAATAATAATAATAATAATAATGACCATCATGAGAATTATCATATAAGGACAACGAGACAATAGCTAGGTCGTTTAGGAACCGCCACAGAGGCCGCAGATTGGGAATGCTACTTCATAACTTTCATACATTCAAAAATAATTTATTTACTTTCTTTAAACAGGAAATCAAAGGAAAAGTTGAGAAAAAGGAAGAAAAAAACAACAACAAAAAAGAATATTTTTAAATTCTATGAAATCAGAGAAATTAAGCCAAAGCATCGTGCGAGAAGAAGGAGGAGGAGGAGGAGGGGAATTTACTCGTGTAGAAGCTCTTGGAGACAATTGGGGGACTTGAAGACCTCGGGGACCTCGCTGTCCAGTTTGCAGATGACCTTGTAGATGGCCTTCTTCCAGGACGGGTCCACGTCTTTGCCGGCCACGATTGCGTTGAAGAACTCCCTCAGCGTGATCTCTGCCACCTCCAGGAAGCGTTCGGGGACCTTCACAGACAGGAAGGAAAGACATTTTTAGTCATTTATGGTGAAGGCGCTCAAGGAGAAAATAAACTGTAAGTCGTCAAAATCATCTATCGACTCAAAAGTAAATCATAAAAGTAAATCATGATAACCAGGGTTTTATCCGGTTTCCACAATGCGTCGCTTTTGACGACACACACACACACACACACAGGACCAAATAAATGTTTTCCCTTCACATCAGACGGGAAGGAGTGTTCATCTCCTCCCTCGGAAGAATATGCTCATAATTTCACAACGGATGTAAAACCATGATTTTCCCGTTTGTTTAAGTACCCACTTCCTTAAAAGCCAATTGAGGCGTTGAGCCTGAGAAAAGTCACTTCTTGTGAACTCTCGGGTTTCTCACACCTCCCATTTCCCTACCAGCGACACGGCCAGCGTGACATCTTTATGAGCCCCGCTGTAAAAAAAAAAAAGAAATCCGTGATCAAACAAGAAAACGGAGCCGAGCGGCGAGAGAGGTGCTGGCCAAAGAGGAAGTACTAAATGCTTTGGGAACGGGGAGACACGCCGCCTCTTTAGTGTCCCTGACAGCAGCGCTCACCGACACCATGGAGATGATTAGTCTGGCAAAGATCTGTGACACCTTCCCCCAAGCCAACACTCTGTCACACACACACACAGAGTCATGCAGGCGTGAGCACACACACACACACACACACACACACACACACACACACACACACACACACACACACACACACACACACACACACACACACACACACACACACACACACACACACACCTCCGTGTGCCAAGGAGATGACACATCCCTGTACAGTTCCAGAGGTCTACATAATGCTGAACAAACACACGCACACACACACACACACACACACACAAGCTACCCTGGTGTCTCTCCTCGTCTCAGAGCTCTGGGGCGACGAAGCCTTCTAGGGGTCACCTGCTTGGATAATGCTGACTGTCTCCGCGCCCGCCTCCCCGTGATGCTTGCACACACACAACACACACACACACATGCACACACACACATGCCCGAATGCCTGACTGTGCGCACTCCGCTCCTCTCCTCTCCTCCAGTGTCCTGCAGATACTCATCAAGAGTGTCAGGACACGGCAAGGTTAGCGCCCACTGGAACACACACACACAAACGGACATGTACACACAGGCGTGCCTCTTTTCGCTCAGACACACACACAGACACACACACACGCGCATGCACACTTATACACACTTGGGACAGCCACCCGGCCCCCCTCGGGGTGATGAATGGAGGCTAAGATGCCCGTGTGTTTGGTGCGTGTGTGGATATCTCTGTCCACTGCTCGAGTGAGTCGTGAATAAGGAGCTTGCACGCGCTTGCATGTGTGTGTGTGTGTGTGTGTGTATTTGAGAGCAAGAAAACACACAAGCTAACCCAATTCCCCAAATATTGAATTCCCCTCTGCTGGGACAGAAGTGCATATAATTCATTGTTTGGGCTGCTGTCTGAAATACTGGCACAATGACCCCGGTGCGAGGGCAACAATGTGTGTATGCGCCGCAAACGCCTGTGCCGGCGTGCGCAGGCTCTTCCCCAAAAAGACCTCGCCGGCGGGCCGGTGTGCGGCGCCGTTAGACGCAGGGGGGGTGGGGGAGGGGGGTGTGCCGCATTACGAAGGATACTTCTGCATGGAATTTCTCCTGACGTTTTGACTATAAAAGGACAGCAAAACGCTGACTACAAGGAGAAAGCAATGTCAAGGAGAAAAGGGCATTGGTATTTCAGATCCTCTTGACTGAGGGAGTGAGAATGGGAGGGAGGGGGAGGGCAAACGGCGAGAGAAGGAGGGGCCGAGAAGCGTCTGAGGAGAGGGAGCGGAGTGACAGAGCAGAGGGAGTTATTCCCGTCCCAGAAGCCTTTGTTTTGGAAGTGTGTGTGAGCTGTGCATGCGACCATGCGGCCCACCGACCAGCAGTGAGCCATAACTGTTTGTCCCGCTCCATCCCCCTTCGCACTCCCCCCTCTCCCTCTCTCGCTCGCTCTCGCTCTGTCCCTCTCCTGGGTCAGCTGTTGGGCCTTTGTTGCAGAGGCATTGTGGGGGATAATCCAGTGTGGCCGTTCATTCGCTCGGCTGTCCGGTAAATGGGGGCGATCGCGTGGCTCACAATCCTTCATACATATTTCATAGGGCTTTTTAACAACTTCTCAGCAAAGCCCAAAATTACAGGACGGGAGGGGAAGGGAGGGAGCGAGGGAGGAAGGGAGGAAGAAGAAGAGTAGAGATGGAGGGCTGAGTTTGTGTGAATGACTCCTGGAAAGAGGTGATGAGGGTTTATTTACACAATGCCAGCAGAATTTGAAAAATGCAATATTTTTGTCTTTGGATTTGGAAACATTTCTCCGCAGCGGAATGAATCAGGACATGTTATCTTTGGCTTTTTGTGTGGCAAAATGATCTTTTGGGAAAACGATGATGAAAGCCTGCTTAGTCAGTCAGCGGCTGACAGATAACTGTGTGAAACTTTCTGTGTGATCTCGACTTCAAACGGGAATATAGACCCAATCACACTGTGCAGGTGAAGTTATTCATTTGCATTCGTGTTGCCAGACCACTTCACAATCTTGTGATGGGATTTGATCAGTGTCTCTGTACAGTAGCGCCAGAAAAACAGTCGGCCGTGTCAACAGGGTGCATTTAAAGTCTGCGATCAAAGCACAATTTTATGGTTTACGAAGTAAGCGAAAGGAAGAAACAGGACCATTAGTACAACTATATTGTAAATGTGCAAATAACCAAAGAACAGCGCGAGAAGCAGAAGGACAGAACGAAGGTTGCAGTTTGTTAGACGAGAGAAGAGAAAGAAGAAGAGATTCAACCAATTTTCTGCTCTTTGAATGTTTCAACGTTGTCTGAGATCTTAGTGAAGCATCTGTGTGGTGACGGGTACCCCCCCAAAAAAAACATTCACCAAAACGGATGTTATTGCGACTCTTCCCCTGTGCAACACAATATGAAAGGAGGGAATCAGCAAAAGGACACAGCGGCGTTGTGTAAATGCCAATCGAGATGAAGGAATTGAAGAACACAAAGAGAAAGAAACAAGGACTTCTCGGACGAGGGGGGTCAGCGATGAGGCAGTTAATCACTCTCATTCCCCCCCGTTCTGCCTCACCCCCCCCCCCCCCTTCATTCTCTCCATGTCCCTCTCTTGTGACAGGTTGCTTTGAGACAGAGGGATAAGCTCTTTTTCAGAGAGAGGGAATCGGATTTCCTGCTTTTTGATGAGATAATAAAATATGACGGAGGACAATAGGAGCCTGTGGACGGCTTGCAGGGACCTATTCACTCCGGCAGCGGCCCCCCCGTCTTAAGACTGCTTAGACAAACGTTTAAAAAAAGGTAGCCAGAGGCCCAAGCCCTGGAATAAAGGCTACTGTTACACACACTGTGCGCAGGTGTATATGTGTGTGTGTGTCTTTGGTTGTGTTTCGGGTAAAGCCTGAGAAATCTCTCCTCTCTCGGTGACTCAGGGTTGAGCCGTTTGTTTGGCCAACGTGTTTCTCCCTTTTGCTTTTGGGAACTGTCAGGAGATGTATTGCACCTTCTATTTACACAGCGTTGGCCAAACAAGATGAGACCCTGGAAGATAAGGCTGTGTGTGTGTGTGTGTGTGCGCGCAAGTGAGTGTGTGCGCTCGCTCGAGCCGCAGCCTTGAAGGATGAAACGCAGGGACACAACATAAGGCCCCCGCTGCCAGCCAGGTTAATTCCTAACCCCGACTCGGCCTGGGAATACCAACACTTCCCATGTTTTTCCCTCGCTGTATTTGTCTGCGGGTGAGAAAGGGAATTTATGGATTTTGTATTCAGCGCTGAACGCCGTTGACGTCTGACACGCTTCTGTAGCTTAAGAATATTCTCACTTCTGCTGAAAGCGAAACAAGTGTTTCAAAAAACATGAAATGGAAGTTGAGCAGGCCGGTGACATTTCAGTGAGCCAAGCCAGAGCTTCCCGAACCTCGAAAAAAAAACACAGGCCCCCGTGCCTCACGTATCTCTTCTGATCAATAATCTACAAAGGCCCCGATAAGCCCCCGGTCCACACTGTCACTTTAGGCAAACACAACCCATGTCCCCTTTTCTTCCTGCTCCCCGCGCTGCTTGTCCCCGCCCCCCCCCCCCCCCCCCGCTGATAAGAACCGTGGCTGACGAGAACGGAGAACAGCGGACCCCTCGTCTCAACGGAGTACTTACGCTTTCTTACATTTCTAAACCTTTAGATTTCCCTGAATCTGTCTCAAATCCTTATGAGTTAATCACTCATCTGTTTATCTCCGTGCTCAATCGTGTACTACGACGGGAAACAGGCCTCAAAGCTGAGCAAACACCAGCCACACTCAGTCCAATGATAGCCTTGTGAACAGGGAGCCTTGAGGGGCTGTTGTGTATATATGTTGGGGTGTGTGTGTGTGTGTGTCTCACTGTCTGGTGTGTGTGTGTGTGTGCTTATGTGAGAACGAGCACTAGCGTCACATGGGCTTTTCTCAGGGTGCACCTCCGCCAGGGAGTCAAGGACAGGACAGGGTCAAAGCCACTGATGAAGTCGTTTTTCTGTCCCGTCTTCCCCGCTGCCATCTTTATTTACCTCCACCCCCCCAGCCCCACCTTCACACACACACACACACACACACACAGGCAGGCAGGCTGCACATTTATTTCATATCGGGGCCTCCTTTGACAACTATTTCCGCCCCTCCGGCCACCTTTCCTCGTTGTTCTGTTTAATAGAAATTGTGTTAAAGGGAGGGGGGGGGGTAACTTTATACCCACCCAGTCAACAGACAGCGAAATGATCTGTACTCAAAAGAATTGCACACAGCAGGAGAAGCCAGGAATCGAAGTCCAAGCCCTGGTTTAGAGACTTATAAATTCATCGTCTGAGATCGTGTGGCAGACACAGGCTGAGAGAAAGCCATTTGAGAGAAGAGGGGAGGGGGGGGGGGGGGTCACAGA